CGGTCCGTGGAAGTTTTAGGTCAAAACCGAACAAAACCGTACCATTGTACATAGTATGTCTGTGACGGGACGAAACAACTAGCAATTCACCTATATTCTATTTTAGTACTCTCTCTCTCTCTCTCTCTCTCTCTCTCTCTCTGAGGTCAACCTGCTTGTTTCTAGCTATAGTAAATGCCCAATGGTCAGGATTGAATATGAGACAATCCAATGGTCACAATTATATTTTGTATATAAACTTTAATTATTAAAAAATTCAATTTACTTGAAATTTTGGGAATCTAAAAAGTAATTTCCCTATAGGCGTTTTTAAGACTCTCTCTCTTAAGTCAACCTGCTTGCGACAACTACAGTAAATGAGCAATGGTCCGGATTGAATATGAGAAGATCCAATGGTCAAGATTACATTTTATATATAAACTTTAATTGTTTAAAAATTCAGTTTACTTGAAATTTTGGGCTTCTAAAAATGAATGGACAAACCAATTGTTTGTAAAAATGAAACCGGGCGGTTCCAACTTTTTTTTTGCTAAAACTAAAATCCGGCTTTCTTCTTGCACACAGGCTGCTTGATCTTTTTTCACACGTAGGCTTTCTTCTTGAAAGCAGACTGCTTGATATTTTTTCTACCATTCTTTCTTTTCTACTATTTGGACATGGAAATGACAACCAATATCAACCTCCAGCGTGTATTACGCTTCACGGGCCTTGCCAACATCAAATTTAACAAGATCGTTGGGTTCTTTTCTACCATTCTTTCTTTTCATATCACTTCGATGTGGAATATATTCCACATCTTGTGAGTTGAAACAAGGGTGGTAAATATTATTAGCTTGGGATAAATTGTAGTGAGATGGTATATGCGCTATAGTGTGGTGTATGCTCGTCATGAATAAAAAAGTTATATGTCCGATTGTGGCAATTAAATTTGATGATAAAAAAAAAAAAAATAATTTAAAATAATAATTAGGAGCCCATCACCTTTATCTTTCACCAAAAAAATTTAAATTTACTTATAAAAAAAACATAAAAACTCTATTAACCTATTATATCATGAGATTATTTTATTATATGAGTAATAATTAATTAATTAGTTAACTAAGATTAAAAAATTAGTACTAGCTCATAGGATAATAAAAAAATAAATAATAATGGTATTTCTAGTCTATTGGATATTAAAAAAAAAGAAGTTTTGATGATAGTTTAAGAGAGAAAAATAACACCAACTTATACCACTTTAAAATTTATTTCAACTTGCTTTATCAATTATGCCACATTGCAAATATAAATTTTTTAATTTATTAATAACCAAATATTTTGTATTATTTATTAATTTATTTATATTATAAATTTTATAAAATATTATTTTTTCCTATAATTGTAAATAAGATTTTTAAATTAGAGGATATACATGACATTTTATATTTTTATTTGTATAGTAAAATAATTATAAAATATAAAGTTATAAACTATCAAACTTAATTTCCATATATATTATTATAGTTAGTTAAGTTGTAATAATTTTAGATAAGTAAACCAAATTAATAAATGTTTGATACTTTGATGTGATACTAATTTATGTGAGAAATTAATTTTTCTAATATTCTAATATGGAAGTGTTTGTAGCTAGTTACCTCACATTGCAAGTATGAATTTATTTATTTACTTTTTAATTTTATTAAAATGTTATTGTAAATTTATATTTCTAAATTCTATATTTCTATCCAAACTAATTGTTTAGATTTATTTATTTGTGAGATACCCTTGTTTTTTGAATCACGTTTATTATAATATTGTAATTAATAATTATACTAATTACAAAGATAACTAAGTCTTATATTTTATTTATTAATTTATTTATTTTAATTATACAAACATCCAAAGAGAAAAAGAACGTCTCAATAATTACCTATTTTTACATAGTAATGAAAATATATAATGCACCAATCCTAAATTATTTTACAAATTAAAATAATATGAATTTTAGAGATTTATAGTGATTTTTTAAAGATTTTTTGAGACAAGAATTACCGATTATGCCCAATTCCCGATCCGAAACTCCGATTCACTTGTCCGGATGGGTTTTTAGGGTGCTCGATCCAGGGCACCGATCCGTTTTTTAAACCACTGGATAAACCTAATAAATGTATGTAACAAATAATTCTTAAAAAAATAAATTGATCAAAATACCTTTGAAAGTTACATGAATATTTTGATCAATTTAGGATTTACAAATGAATTTTTAAATATTTTTATTAGGTGTGCATTGATGAGAGGAGTGCACACTCCAAATTTCAAGTGATTTTGATTTATATAAAACAAATTAAAATTCAAATACAAAATACAATTGTAACATCTGATCGACTCAGATTTAATTTGAGCAATTAGACTTACACTAAACAATCAGTGGGCTAACATGTGTTTTTTTTGAAAAATTTATTTAGAGCCGAGGCTCTAAACAATCAAATTGAGCGCACCTCAAAAATTTCACTTGAATAGGTTGCTATGATGCCCAAATATCCTCAAATTGATCATCTTGATATCAAGAAGCGTGGACATGAGAAAAAAGTTAATGCATCTTGTAATGCATTTCATGGATTCGCTCAATCTACACTATTTTTTGAGCTTAAAATTTATATTGAAACCACATTTCTCAATACTATTTGATGAGCCTCGGCTCTATACAAAACCGCACCTATATAAATCCAAGGGAAAATTACAAAAAACACCTTAAAATGAATTATTTATGCAACTTACCCACATCCCAATCTTTTCTCTCACTTTTTTCCCCAAAACAACATTGCCTCGCAAAAACCCCCCAAGGTAAAAAGTTGTTATTTTTTGGACGGAAATGCTCTTCCCATACAAATCAAATAAATTTGCAGGTCCCAAGTAGCGCAGTGCTGGAGTGCAGTATACTACTGCCAGAAGGGAATGTCAAGAACACAATGCTGAAGTGAGTCTTTGCACTGTCGGAGCGTTGCGGCTCCAGAGGCAGTACTGCCGGAGCGCATCATTGTACTGCTGGTGTGCGTTGTTTTCATTGCTGGAGCGTGATATTCCATTGCTGGAGCGTTGTGGCTCCCGAACCTGCATTGCTGAAGCGGACTACCGGAGCACCTGCTTGTACTGTCGGATCTTCTCATAATGTCAGAACGCTTGTCTATATTGTTGGAGGGAGGTCCTCTACTGTCGGAGCATAGTGTGAAACTGGTGTGGGTAAATAAAAAAGTGGAAAATAGGAGAGACAAGGCCGGGTGAAAACAAACAAGGGTAGTTTAGTCTTATTTCATGCTACTTTTGGGTTGGGGGTTATTTACGAGGAAAGGTTGTTTGGGGAAAAAAACGTAAGAGAAAAGATTGAGGTGGGGGTAAGTTGCATAGATAGTCTATTTTAGGGTGGTTTTTGTAATTTTTCTTACTTTCAATTCACTTGAATTTTAATTGTACTTTTCGCTTTCAGGAGATTCTAACAGAAAACTTGTGCCACATTGCTCTTTGAAAACTTCAAATTGTCAAATTGCTACATTAATTAAAGGAAAAAGTTTATATAAGGATACAACCTTGTAATCTAGAACTACGGATGCACCTCAAAAATCTATGGGAAAAGGTAGTTTTAATGTTGAAAAACCCTTGGATTGACCATCTTGACATTGAGATGTATGACCATGAAAAATAAAAAGATTTTAAGCCTAAAAAATAGTGCATTTTACAACATATTATCTACACCGTCCATTTTCAAGATTTTTATATGTTTACAGATCTACTTGATTTTAAGAATATTCTACATCAAAATTATATACCATCATAAAATTTGAAGGTCCACCTTACCTCTCCTGCTACGGATGCATCCGTATGCAAACTGCACCCTTAATTAAAAATTGCACACAAGTGGCACCTCACGTTCCAATTTCACATGTATAAATATTGTTTACGATGACTTCTTATGAATGCTTTGAGAATAGGAAAAAGTTTTGGTAGCTCGCGAGTCCACCATCACTGCATGATCCAGCGGCCAAAGGATATGTTTATTACTTATGGGGATCCTTGTGTCTGGAAATTTTTTATCATATTTCTCATGCCTATAATTAAATATTAAAAAATAATAATAATAATTTAGACAAAAATATTCCAAATGAGCACCCTCTCGAAGACTACCCTAAGATCCTTTTTCATTGGGAGAATGATCAAATACAAGGTTTTAAGAGCTTCCAAAGCGTAATTGTTTCTTTTCAAATCATTTATATATTAAAGCAAAGATGATCAGAAAAGTTTTGGATGACAGAAAATAACCGCCCTATACGTCTTGGATGCTGGACCATTTGCAGAAACTGGTTTCAAGCGACCACCTAATACTCACCCTTCCCCAAGAAAACCCTTTGTAATGTCGCATTTATTGCAACGAACACTTCATGCATGTTACTATTATTTTTAATCTCAATCCATTTCGTTCCACATGGCTTCTATGTGCACATTAATCATGCATTAACGTAACAGAAACATTGTTACCTCCAAATGAAAAGAAAAGCTCCAAAACTTATTTCCTTCAAATCAAGAAAGAAGTTGTCAGGGATTTTCACTTTTGAAGGTCCCCTGGTAGGTTTTTCTGGTGAAGTGGTAATCAAATCCACAATTTATACGCATCACCACCAAAACCCTATGAAAGTAAATATGAAACTATACATGGAGGTTATAATTTTGTGGTTCACCTCTTATGACTGAAAGTCCAGTGGTAGGAGTCGAACTTGAGATGCAGTGTTGCTGATGTTCACCTCTCAATGGCACTTCTAAAAGTATTCTTCGTTGGTATTCTGGTATTCGGCTCGGAGGTAGATCATATTAGTTTGAGCACGGCTTAATGGTAGGTGTATCAATTTGGGTGAGGTAAATCAAAGGCTCCAACTCTTGAAATTCGTCCCAGAAATTCCAAAAAAGCTCACTCTAGCGTATTTGTTTTCCCTTAAGAGCATAATGATTTGCCTGTCTCCATCCCTTCGTAGATGGCCATCTCCGGCTTGTCCCAAGTTCTGCCCACCACCAAACATTTAAGTGGTACAGTCATGTATCAATGGCAAGGCTGTTGGTATCCGTCGGATCATCTCAAGGCCGCAATGGATGTCTCCAAACATTTCATGGCTCATCCCGACAATACTCTCTTGGCCTCAGCCTCCAAAACAGGCACCACTTGCCTCTCAGTCCTCTTCTCCATAACAAGCCGCGGCCTCATCTCAAAAGAAGAGGCACAGAAGCTTATCCTATCAACCCATCCTCATAAACTCATTCCACATCTTGCAATTGAATACAAGAAGGCCATAAAGCTTCCACTTTCTAGGCTTTTTAGCACGCATATACCTTATAGCACCTTGCCTGATCCTTTGAAGGACTCTTGTTCTCAAATTATTTATATCAGTCGCAACCCGAGATATACATTTGTTCCGCTTTGGGAATTTGCTCAGCAGATGCAGAGAGGAAACTCAGAGCCATTGACATTTGAGGATGCATTTGAGCAATTTTGTGAGGGTAACACCAACTGTGGGCCCTTCTTGGAGCATGTCTTAGAGTATTACAAAGCAAGCCAAGAGAGACCACAAAACATTTTATTTCTCACTTATGAAGAGATGAAGGCTGATACCAAGGGTGGGGTGAAGAGGATGGCTCAGTTCTTGGGTCGATCCATTGAGAGGGAGGAGGAGGGTGAGGAGACAGTGGAAATGTGCAGTTTTGAGAGGGTGAGTAATTTGGACGTTAACAGAAGTAAGGAGAAGTCACCTTGGGGCTCTTTACCTTACAACTCATTTTTCAGAAAGGGTGTGGTGGGAGATTGGGTGAACCATTTCACGCCCGCGATGACTGAGCGGCTCGATCGGATCACTCAAGAGAAGAACCATGGTCCGGACTACAATTTAGATTCGAATAGAATTGAGGCCAATGTCTCTAGGAATGGGCTGGTCAGGGTGGCGGGGCGCTAAAACTTGATGTCTGTTTCATTTTTATCACGGTTACATGAACCCTTCTATTTCGGAAAAAGAAGAAGAGGGCAAGGTCTCTATTTCGTACCCTACAATTTTGGTATGGTTTATGTATCTTTGCCGATCTCCATTACTAGGGAGTGTGCTATGTTATTTTGCTTTATTTAGAGAGCTTTTAAATGTAAAGGCAATTTCTTTTCTTTAATTGTCAAGGTGTTTATTTAAGGGCAAGCTTGCTATGCTTCCCCTTAAGCATAAAACTTATTTACTTCCGTTTATCCAACCGTCCATTCTGAATGGAGGGCTAAGATTGCCCCAATCACAATGACATGTCTCTACATTATTTTATTTTTAATTTTTTTCTATAAACTATTTTGATGCCAAATTTTGGATGTCCAATCTTCTATTAAACTCGCACTAGCGAAAAATATATAAAAAAAATATTTTCAATAAAAAAAAAGACCAAAATACCCCTTTAAGCTTCAAGGGGTATTTTGGTCATTATATTTTATCAAAAAATTATTTTTAATATTTTTTATAGGTGCACCCCAATGAGAAGATGGCACGTACCAAAATTCAAATTCACACAATTTGTATATAAAAAAAAAAACTAAAAATAAAATACTTTGAGATATCAGATCTAAGATCAAACGGTGAGTGCTCTCTTGATCAAAATTGGACGGCTGGATGGTAGGGGGAAGATAGTTCTTCTATGTTGTAGGGGAAGTATGGAAACCTTTCCCTTTATTTAATGGGTGTGGTTTCTATGCGGTTGCAACCGTAAACAATACCACTAAAGCGCACCTTCAAATTTTATCATAATATATAATTTTCATGTAAAATGTTCTCGAGATTATCTCAAAATCTATTTTTATATCTAATTATTAAATTTAAATATAATTAAAATCAAGTAAATCTATAAATATATGAAAATCTTGAAAATGGACGGTGTAGATAATATGTTGTAAGATGTACTATTTATGAGATTCAACATGTTTTTAATTTTCATTGTCATACATCTCGATGTCAAGATGATCAATCACAGGGTTTTTCAACATTAAAACAATCTTTTCCAATAGATTTTTGAGATGCATATGTAGTTCTACATTATAAGGTTGCAACGTTATATAATTGGTAAAAGAAAAAAAAAATTTGCAGCCTTATATAAACTTTTCTTTATTTAATAATATAAATACAAAGTACATGGATCAATGAGTCATTAGAACCTGAAACTATTACATTTTCGGATATCGAAAAGTTCAATTGTTGTCGGTTGGTGTAAATGCAAATTTCGGATCTTAAAAATCCAAAAAGGACAATTCTATCATTTTTTTAAAATACTGACAAAATGTTGTAACAGCATATAAAAAAACGGGTAGAGTAGAAATAACAAAAACATTTAGGTGATATTATAATATTGTTCAAAATTAGGGATATATGTAAAATGGGTAGATTATATAGGATTTTGTTAGGGTACATATACATGTGATGGCAATAGCATATAAAAATAGAGTAGTAACAACATAAAATTTTAGGTGTTAAAATAATAT